CTGGAACATGAGAGGGCCCTTGCTGACCTGCGTCGAAAGGAGAAGGAGGTGGATGCGGAGAAAGAGAGAGTGGCTCACGCATGGCAAATGGAAGAGCTGGCGGTGGAGGAGAGTTCCAAGTGACTCCAACTCCAGAAACTAGAGGCGCAACAAACGATACAGCGACCTGAGAGCCCATCCCCACTGGCCAGCAGGAGTTGGGAAAGGATCTGTCCCATCTACAAAGATAATGAGGATATTGAGGAGTTTTTGGCCACCTTTGAACGTATTTGCAATGTCAGCCGGATCCCAGATGACCAGGGCATGCCTGTCCTGATGACCAGACTGGCAAGGCCAGGGAGGTATTTAACGAACTGGGGGAGGAAGAAGTTTTAGATTATGGATGGTTTAAAGATTAGGCACCGAAACGGTTCAAGGTTACCCCCGAATCCCACCGGGTTAAATTTAAAAGCTTTAAAATGTCTAGTGATTGTACTTGTGTGGAATGTGCTCACAAGCTGATGGGCTTTGTTAAAAAGTGGGTTGTGGGGGCAAAAGTGGGAATTATGAGAAACTGCTGGATTTGATTACCCTGGAGCAGTTTCTGAATAGTGTGCCTGACCAAGTCAGGGCAGCTGTGTGTGATCAGGAGCTGGAGTTGGTCCTACGGGCTGCAGAGTTTGCAGATGCTCAAACCCAAAACAGGGTGTGGGAAGGGCACAGACCCGTTAGGAAGACTCAGCACCATTCCCCATAGTTTAGATGGAGGGAGGGGTTCAGAAGCAAACCCAGCCCCGAATCTAACAAGAGAGCTCAGAGAAGCCCCGAGAACAGGAGTGCTCACCCCAAGGATAAGCAGGCCAAATGCTACCACTGTGGCAGATCTGGCCATGTAAGGCCTAAGTGTCCAGACCTAAAGAGCAGCCCGAGGCCAGCAGCTCCTAGCCATTTGATAAGCATCAACTCTGTCACTGTGTGCACACAAGCAGATCATGCAGACCCCAGCGAGGCCTCTGATGCCACCCTGAGTCCAGGTCTGAGCACTGCAGTGGCTAATGTTAACCCAATAACCCAGGGGTTCTCAAACTTTGTTATACCATGACCCCTTTCTAAGTTGCTCACGACCCCCTGGCGAGTCGGGACCCACAGTTTGAGAAACGCGGCAGTAACCTATAGTGGTGTGCGGGAGGGCAGTGAGCTCACCCGGTATGTCAGGACTAAGGCACGGAAGGGCAGCGAAAAGTTTATGGGAGAGGCAAAGGTCAGTGGAGTCAAATGTAGGGGTTGGCGAGACACTGGCTCTGATATTACGATAGTTAAGGGGCACCTGGTGAAACCAGGGAATGTGTGACGATAATGGCATTGTTTGAGTACTCAGTGAGCCTGCCAGTGGCTAAAATCCATCTCGAGTGGGGAGCTTTAGGGGGCAGACGTGGGTGGCTGTTTGGGAGGTGATTCCAGCTGATGTCTTGGTGGGAAATAACATAGTGGATGTGCTTAGCCAGATTAATGTGGTAACCAGATCACGGAAGGAATATGGGTGTGAGGCAGACACCCCAGTGGGTAGCAGCAGGGGGGAAGGCGAACAGGCCCAGAGTGTGTCTCAGGCTGGGGGTGGAGAGGAATTGTTCGAGAGGTCGGATGTAGTTCTGGATCCGAGTGATGCTCGGCGGGAGTTCGTTAAGGCACAGCAGAGTGATGTGTCCCTGGAGAGAGCCAGGCATGATGCACGGAGTCAGGCCCCTGCTAGTGAGGAGAGAGGCAAGTTTCTCATGCAAGATGGGCTATTGTACAGGGAACCCCCACAGGGGAAGAAGGGTTCCCAGGCAGCGACTCGCAGGCAGCTGGTGGTGCCTGGAATGTAGCGTGAGGAATTGTTGAAGTTGGCGCATGACGGTCCGTTTGCAGGGCATCTGGGCATAGGCAAAACTTGTGACAGGCTAGCGCAGAACTTCTATTGCCCTCGCATGTTCAGGTCAGTGAGGGAATATTGCTGAAGGGGCCTAGCAAGGCGCCCCTGCAGCCTCTACCTATCACTGGGGAGGCCTTTACCAGGGTGTCAGTGGATATTGTGGGACCACTCCCGAGGCCCTCCAAGAATGGGGAAAAAGTACATCCTGGCAGTGGTAGATTTTGCTACCAGATACTCTGAAGCAGGGGCTCTGTCCAATGTGGAGGCAGAGACGGTGGCAATGGCCTTGTTCACTGTTTTCAGCAGGGTGAGTTTCCCCAAGGGAATTCAGTCTGACCGTGGGTCGATCTTCATGTCTGTGGTTTTCACGCAGTGGTGGGAATTGTGGGGGGTGAAGCACCTGAAGGCTGCTCCCTACCACCCACAGACAAATGGGCTGGTAGAGAGGTTCAATGGAACTTTGAAATCCATGCTAAAGATGCATGTGGACAGGCGCCAGAACGACTGGAATGTGCTGCTGCCATATCTGTTGTATGCTTACAGGAGTGTGTCCCAGGACTCACGGGGTTTGCTCCCTTCGAACTGCTCTATGGGAGGCAGGTCAGAGGGCCTCTGGACTTGATTCGTGATGCCTGGGAGGCAATATCGAAGTGGCAGGGCAGCCAGTGACTGAGTATGTGACTCAGTTCAAGGACAGGCTGAAGGAGATGATGGAGTTAGTTCAGGCGAAACTGAGTGACAGCCAGTGGGCTCCGAAGGCCTGGTATGACAGGGATGCAGTGGAGAGAGCGTTTGAAATAGGTGACTTGGTGTTGGTGCTAAATCCAGTGAGAGAATAAAATGCAGGACATTTGGAACGGGCCCTATGAGGTGTTGGGAAGGGTGAATGAAGTGGCCTACGATGTGAGGAAGGCCCGTGGCCGGGGCAGGGTGCAGACGGTGCACGTTAACAGGATGAAGACGTACCTAGAGAGGGAGGTCAACGTGAACATTATCTGTTGTGCGGAGGAGGCGGCCATGTCAGTCCCTTTGGTGAATATGGTGGCGGAGAGCCAGGAAGAGAGACCTCTCAAGAGCATAGAGTTGGGAGAGGGCTTGACTCCCCCACAAAGGAAGAAGTTGCTGGCGCTGCTGAAGCATCACTGGAGAACATTCTCCATCAGGCCGGGGCTCACGGACAGAATATCGCATTCTAGCCTCACGACAGGGCCCCACCAGCGCCTAACAGAGCCTATAGGGCCAAGGGGGAGATACAGAAGCAGATTCAGGAGGAGGTGGAAAGCAATGGGCATGATCACCAAATCCCGAAGCCCCTAGGCATCCGCTATTGTGATGGTGCCTAAAAAGGACAGGACCATGAGGTTCTGTGTGAACTATAGGAAGCTGAATGCTAGCACGCAGCTTGACCCTTTCCCCACACCCAGAATAGAGGATCTGTTAGACACGCTGGGGGGGGGGGGGGCAAAGTTTATAAGTACTCTGGATCTGACATGGGGGTACTGGCAGATTCCCCTAGATGCTGATGCACAGGAAAAATCTGCGTTCATCGTGGAGTCTGGCCTGTATGAGTTCAAGGTGCTGCCCTTTGGCATGCAGAATTCCAGGGCCACCTTCATGAGGCTGATCAATGAGATCCTGTAGGGACTGGAGGGTTTTGCGAGGGCTTATATTGACGACCTGGCCATCTTCAGCGACTCCTAGCGGGATCACCTCAATCACATAGGGGTGGTGCTGCAGCGACTCGGGGAGGCCAACCTGACTGTCAAGGTGTCCAAATGCAGGACGGGGGCTGCCGAAGTAACTTATCTGGGGCACAAGTTGGGCAGCGGGTCGGTGTGCCCCGAACCCCTGAAGGTGGAGGCCATTAAGAACTGGCCTATTTCCCCAATGAAAAAGCAGGTCCAGTCGTTTGTGGGCCTGGCCAACTACTACAGGAGGTTTGTGAGGGGGTTCAGTGATGTCATAGCTCCGATCACAGTTTCACAAAGAAGGAGAGGCCAGACCGGGTGGTGTGGTGAGAGGCCTGTGAACAGGGGTTCCAAAGCATAAAGAATGCCTTAGCCAGGGAACCTGTGCTGGCCAGCCTGGATTTCAACAAGCCCTTTTTGTTGTGCACCGATGCTTCCAACACTGGTTTGGGGGCGGTGCTAATGCAGGACGGGGTGGGGGACAAAAGACACCCCGTGGCATACCCCATCAAAAAGCTGTCCCCTGCGGAGCGGAATTATGCCACAGTTGAGGAGTGTTCTGCCATAGTGTGGGCTGTCAAGCAGCTCAAACCCTATCTTTACAACAGGAGGTTCACTGTGCTGAGTGACTGTGCCCCGCTGGTTTGGCTGCAAAAGGCCAAGGGCACCAACTCCAGATTGCTGCGCTGGAGTCTGGCCCTCCAAGATTACGACATGGACATCGTCCACATAAAGGGGAAGGAGAATATTATGGCGGATGCCTTATCTAGGGCAGGGGGACCTATGTGATGCTGTGCCCAGACCTGGCCCGGTCCGTCACAGTGGCATAGTTGGCAGGATCCTCCGATCTTGGTCATTTGAGCTTTCGATCAGGACCCCACGCTGTTCTAAATTTGATTTCTGTGTGTTGAAAGTTTGGTTGATTAAACAGCTGCTGCAATGAGTCAGCAACAGTATGAGAGTCTGGACAGAAAGGCTCTGGAAGCCTTGTGCTTGGAAAGAGGCATTGCCTTTAGTGAGGAAGCTTCTAAGCCAGAGCTGAGATCTTTGTTAGTGGCCAGAAATGCTGCAGAAGAAATGAGAGTGCAGGATCCAGTGAGGAGAATGAAACTTAAATGTAAGCGAGAACTAGAGGAATTTTGTCTGCTAGCAGAACAGAGAAGACAGAAGCTAGACCAAGAAGCGGCTGAGAAAAGGCAGAAGCTGGAACGAGAACTTGCAAAGAGAAAGGCAGAACATGCAGAGAGAATGGCAGAGTTGGACAGAAAAATCAGACTAGCCAAGGAGAAAGCTGCCAGACTTGAACTTCAGCTTAAGAGAATAGAAGAACCAAAGAGACTGTATCCTCCTGGGAGAGCAGTGTATAACCATGTGGGTGTGGTGGTGTGACTATGACATGTGTGTGGGGAGGAGCTGGTTACCTTGTATTTGTTTTGGTTGCAGTTCATGTTGGCCTGCCCTCCACACAGCAGGGGCCAGCAGCGGGCTCGCATGGACGAGGGGATCCCTTTACGGCATAGGACCTTCACCTGGAGCCAGAGAACTGCATCAATCACAGAGCACCCCACAGGGAAATGGGGACACGTGGCCGAGGCCAGGGAGAGGGTACCCAGCATGGTGCGACGATGGATGGAGCTGGGGCCCTGGGACACAGGCTTTGGTGGTAGGAAACAGCTCCAGGGGGCCCAGTTGTGTGGCATGACACTGCCAGGAGAGTTACTGGGAGAAGTCCTGGCAGGTGCCAGTCCCCTGGGGGAGTGGAGGCATTCTGACTGGGGCACACTGGGGTGCCCTATGGGAGGATGGGTTGCTCCATGGGGGGATTAGCAAGGCCCTTTGGGGTGCCTCGGGGTGGCTGAGTGCCCCACAGGGCAATTGGGATTTCTCTGCAGCTTCTCCTCACCTTCTTATACCTCCTGGCCATGGTTTTCTCCCAGTGCGATGTCATCTCCAGCCATCTGGCCTCCCGGTGCCGGACAAGCTCTACTGGGGGCTGGGCCAGGCTGGATGAGGGAAGGAAAATGGGTATCAGGCCCAAGTCCATTTCCTCCTTGCCCTATAACCCCATTCCGCCAATCTCTTTGTCCCTCTGGTGCACTCCTTCTATCTCATTCCTTCTTTCCTCTTCACTTGTGCTCCCCTCCTCCCTCATTCAGTAGCTGCACTAAACTTCCTTACAGGGCATTGTTCTGCAAGGAGAATACAGCCTCCTCTGTGCCCATACCCCATCCACCTCTTCCTCTGCCTCAGTTCCCGTATCCCTACCCCACCCTGGGGCTGGACCATGGGGAGTGACATTCTGGAATGTGGAAACAAAAGAATATTCCAACATCACCTTAACTCTGACCCCTCTACTACCTAATTCCAACTACTGGCTGGTGGCACCATCACCCTGCCAACTCGACCTGCATAGAAACCATAGACCTCCCCTCTCCGGCATCACCCCCACATTCTGTATGCTCAGCCGCATTGGCCTAACCCTCTGTCATTGTCTAGAGACCCAGATCATTGCTTTCTGCCCTCCAAGTGCCCCAGAGACAGCCCACAACCTCAACCCTACCAACAGAAGCACAGATCTCTTGTTTATTGGGTTTGTAAATTCAAGGGGCACATTGTGAGCTCCCTGATCTGGAGGTATATACCCTGTCCTGTGAAGACCATGAATTTAGGTAACAAGCAAAGAATAATGATTAACAACTAAACAGTGAGTAATGACTGAGTAATTGTCAAGTAATCCCTGAGTAACAACTGAATAAACACTGAGCACTTAGCAAGTAATCACTGAGTAGGGCTGAGTAAATATCAAAGTAATGACTATATAAACCCTTCAGTAGCGACCAAGGAGTAACAAGTAACAAATGATTAAAAGTTTCAGAAGGGTAGCCATGTTAGACAGTAACTGGAAAGACTTTAAAAACCAACAAATAGTCTTGCAGCACCTTAGAAACTATTTGTTATTTTTTAAGTTTTTTCAAGTAACAACTGAATAAGCCATGAGTAATGACCAGGTAAAGACCAAATAATTACTCAATAAACACTTAATAACAATTGTGTCAATTTTGACTACTGAGAAATGCCCAAATGAACACCATTCAGTGCCCTCAAAACCAGTGAGTAAACCCTGAATAAATACTAAGCAAACACGAGGTGATGTTTGAATAAAAACAAACTAAACATGCAGTGGGGACTGAGTAATGATCTAACTAACAAATACCAAGGGCTCAACTCCCAGTTGTCCTAGGGTGTTTTTGGACAGAGGCCTCTAAGTCCAGGAGCAAAGTTGGTTCTGCTGGTTCACGTGCCATCAGTTTGACAGGATGCTGGGGGCGGGCGGGGAGGGGGGTGCAGGGCAGGCCAGGCCAGAACAGGGACACACTGGTGGGAGGTGCTGCACTCTTCTGTGCAGAGCCCCATCAGGACACCACAACAGAAGCACTAGTTGAGGCAGCTCCAAGAATTGTTGTAGCCTGTGAGGAGTTGGTACCTGCTGCAAACTCCCTTCCCTCCATCTGGTTTAGGTAAGGTGACTAGAATTTGAAAATGTGCGAGGAGGACATTGAGTTGACAACAAAAACATACTTGTATATTAGGGTTGCCAGATGATCTCCCAAAAAATACCGGACAGCCAGTATTTTTTGGTCGAGAAAAACAAAAAAAAGGAACACGGGATTTTTTTTGGCAAAGTAGGACAAGAAGGACAATTTTTTTCAAAGGAGGACAAAAAGAGGACATAATTATTGGGGGAAGACAAGCCCCTCAAAAGGCCCCTCTGGTCACCGTAGTTTAGGTAACAACTGAATAACAAGTGAGTAAACATTGAGTAATGAGTGTGTAAGTGCCGAGGCCTCATCTATAGCTGACACTTAAGTCAACTTAGATACATCACTTTGGTCTTAAAAGCCATACCTATGCAATGTAACCCTCACGATATACACAGCTAAGTTGTTGGAAGAATTCTTCTGTTACCAGCTCTGGAGGGGGTGGGTTTACTATAGCCACAGAAAAACACTTTCCCTCACCTTAGGAAATGTCTACACTGCAGCAGCTGTGCTACTATAGTGCTTCTTGTGTAGACAAACATTGAGTAATAAACTAGAAAATAGAGAAGCATGAGCAAGTCTCCCAAATTGAGTAATGAGTGTGCAAAACCAATATAATCAGTAAACAACACAGAGCAATGAGTAAATGCTGAGAACATAAGAGTGGTCATACTGGGTCACATCAATGGTCCTCTAGTCCAGTATCCTGTCTTCTCACAGTGGCCCATGCCAGAGTCTTCAGAAGGAATGAACAGAACAGGGCAATCATCAAGTCATTCATCCCATCGCCCATTCCCAGCTTCTGGCAGTCAGAGGTTTAGGGACTCCCGGAGAATGTGGTTGCATCCCTGATCATCTTGGACTAATGACTATTGATGGACCTATCCTCCCTGAACTTATCATTATTTTTTGAACCCAACTATAGTTTTGGCCTTCACAACATCCCCTGGCAATGAGCTCCACAGGCTGACTGTGCATTGTGTGAAGTACTTCCTTTTGTTTGTTTTAAATCTGCTGCCTAATAACTTCAGTGGGTAACCCCAGGTTCTGGTGTTACGTGAAGAGGTAAATAACACTTCCCTATTTGCTTTCTCTACACCAGTCATGAATTTATACATCTCTATCTTATCACATCTTAGTTGTCTCTTTTCCAGCTGAATGGTCCCAACATGTGAAAGCTGTTCCATACCCCTAATCATTTTTGCTCTTCTGAGTAATGAGTGTGTAAACATTGAGTAATAAGTGAGCAGACATTGAGTAATGACCACGTAAACACTGAGCAAGAAGTGAGTAAACATTGAGTAATGATTCTGTAAACACTGAGCAATAAGTGAGTAAACATTGAGTAATGACCCCATAAACACTGAGCAATTAGTGAGTAAATATTAAGTAATGACTATTGTGTGTGTGTGTAAACTGAGTAATAAGTGAGTAAACGTTGAATAATGATCACATAAACACTGATCAATAAGTGAGTAAACATTGAGTAATGACCATTGTGTGTAAACACTGAGCAATAAGTGAGTAAACATTGAGTAATGACCCCATAAACACTGAGCAATTAGTGAGTAAATATTAAGTAATGACTATTGTGTGTGCAAACTGATCAATAAGTGAGTAAACATTGAGTAATGACCCCATAAACACTGAGCAATAAGTGAGTAAACCTTGAGTAAAGACCATGTAAATACTGAGTAATGAGCAAGCAAATACTGAGTAATGAGTGAATAAACATTGAGTAAAATGGGAGTAAGGCTGTCAGTGTTTTCATCTACAGTTTCCTTCTCATACTCTGTTATCAGGAGATGGATGTGGGCAGTGAGGGACCTGTTGCCCTGGGAAACTGCCTTCAGGGGCAGGTCGGCAGCCCCATCATGCATGATGTTTCCAGAGCAGATTCCTGAGATGAAGCCGTAGGAAAGGCTCCTGAGGAGCATGGGAGGTGGGGAAGGGGCTAAACATGTCTGTTGTCTCTCCTTTCTTGGGCCTGTTCGTAGCCTGAGTCGCTCAGTGGGGTGAGGTGGGGGTGGGGGCTGGCTGGTGTGCTGATGTCACAGACCACACACCGCTGCAAGCACGGTGTGCACATCACCATGGATACGGGGACAGGATGTGGTTGAACTGTGAGCTAGCGAAACAGGAAGTGTTCGTTCATGTGGGTGGAGGGGTGCAAGGTACTCCCTTTCCTTGGCCCAGCACCCATGGTGCTCAGAGCCCATCCCAGAGAAGCGAGAGGCTGTGGTTTTTCTCTGGGGCTGACCTGGGCTTCACACCCCTCAGTAACACATGTTCCCCTCTTGAACTCCAAGAACGACTAGGGCATGGATGGGTATGAGGAGCCAGGAAGGAACCCACAGCTTTGGAGTTCTCATCCTCTGCAGGGTCATAGTATGAGAACCAGGCAGAGTTCTTCAGCTTCCCTCCGTGCCAGGCAATCCAGAGGGGGCCTCTCTACAGACCAGCTCTAGATCAGTCACAATCTCTGGGCTCAATGCAGGAGTCACCCCTGGGCTACACGGGAGGTCAGACTAGACCAGTGGTTTTCAACCTGTGGTCCGTGAACCCCTGGGTGTTTACAGATCATGTCTCCGATTCCCGAGGGGACCTGGCCCCATTTGAAATTTTTTAGGGGTCCACAAATGAAACAAGTTCGAAAGCCACTGGGCTAGACAATCAGACTAGCCCTTTCTGGCCTTCCAAGCTGGGACCCCAGGAGCCTTTCCATGCCTCTTCACATTGCATGGACAGTGTGTGCGTTTCATTTTCTATGGCTTTTGTAACGAACAGTGAGGAAGGGGAGGGGAAACGGTTACGGTTCTGGCATTCCCAAGCTCTGCTCCTTTGCAAATGCACCTTGCAGATTTCAGAACTGGGATCTGTTTGGTTAGACCCTACCTAAATGCCACCCCCTCCTCCTGCCATGGAACTCTGGCTGAGCCAGTAGCTAGAAAGACCCATCCTATCATTTGCCTTCAGCATACAGTGCATTGAAACAACCACACAGATCTTCCATGCTGGCTCATCAGCACTAACCCTTTGGCTCTCCTATTTGCTATCACCCCCAGGCTAGCCCAGGGTCCTGATGACGCCATGATAAGCCAGTGTAACTACCAGCAGGAGGATCTGAACCTAGGACCTCTAGAGCAGTGTTTATTAATCAGTGGTATGAGTACTCTCAGGGCTGTGTCTAGACTGGCAAGTTTTTCCACAAAATCATCTGCTTTTGCGGAAAAACTTGCCAGCTGTCTACACTGGCCGCTTGAATTTCCGCAAGAACACTGACGAGCTCATGTAAGATTGTCAGTGCTTTTCAGGAAATACTATGCTGCTCCTGTTCGGGCAAAAGTCTTTTTCCGAAAGACTTTTGTGCAAAAGGGCCAGTGTAGACAGCACAGTACTGTTTTCCACAAAAAAGTCCCAATTGCGAAAATGGTGATCGGGGCTTTTTTGTGGAAAACCGCGTCTAGATTGGCCACGGACGCTTTTCCGCAAAAAGTGTTTTTGCGGAAAAGCATCCTGCCAATCTAGACGTGCTTTTCCAAAAATGCTTTTAACGGAAAACATTTTCGGAAAATCATGCCAGTGTAGACGTAGCCTTAGGGGTACTCGAGAGAAGTCTGGGCGGTACGTCAACACAACTGAAATTTGGAGAAAACTGAATTTTTGTTTTGTTTACAGCACTTTATTAGTTTTGTACTTTTTACACCCAAAAATTTCATCGCCCACCCGGCTACAATTAAGTTGTTTAAACAAATGTGTTGCAATGGTAGAGACAAAAGCTGTGTGTCTGAAAACTGTAGGTACCGGGGGTACTTATACTTTTTTTTGTTGAAAAAGGGGTACTTTATAAAAAAAAAGGTTGAGAAACACTGCTCTAGAGCTTAGTGAAGGCGCTTCTACAGCTTGAGCTATAAAGCCAGCTGGCTCTCAGCTCAGGTTGTAGAGCTCCCTTGGGGTATGTCTACACTGCAAGTTCATTTCAGAAAAAGCTATTCCGGAAGGTATCTTCTGGAATAACTTATTTCAAAATAGAGTGTCCACACGACAGGGAAACCTCAAAATTAGTCTGAGGCAGGCTCCTCTAATGTGCTGACGCTATCTCGATTTAGAGACCCAAGAGGCACTGGGGAAGAATGACTTAGAATGGCCCTGATGAGGAGCTATTTGGACATAGCAGCCCTGGGACGTCCACACACACCCTCTTCCAAAAGAGCTTTTTCAGAAGAGACATTATTCCTCGTGGAATGAGGTTTACCAACGTCAGAAAAAACCCTCCGTTATTTCGATTTTCTTTTGAAATAACGCAATTGCTGTGTGGACACTCATATTGTTTTTTCTGGAATAATGGCTGTTATTGCTGATTAACGGCGCAGTGTAGACGCATCCTTGTTCTTATCTCTTGCTGTAAGTGGTCTAAGTGCCACTACATGGGACAGTGAACCACAGTAGGTATGTGGGTTACACCAACTCCCAGGGAAGCAGGAGAGGATGTTATAGTAATATAGCTCCTTTTATTCTGCAGCACTTTGCAGTCAGTGCTTGCTTTGTGAGATAGGGCAGGTCATCTTCCCTACTGAGTGCCTCAGTTTCCCCACCTATGAAGCCAGGGATCAGGACATGGGCACTGCACCCCTCCCCATTGTACGTTCAATAGGGAATGGGATGGCAGGTGCTCTGGAAGCACTATGTGCTATGATCACACACTTAAACAGCTATGGGCTGCAGCTGCCTCTAGGGAGGAGAGCAGACAAGATGCTGTGCTGCAGTCTGGCACACTGGCACTAGGATGGTGTAGGCTAGTGGTCACCAACCAGTAGACTGGGAGCTACTGGTAGATCTTGGAGCCTTTGACAGGGGATCCTGACTGGTTTGACCAAGAGGCTATCAAGTGCCGGCACTTCAGCTGCCCGTCCCCACACTGCTGTGCATCTCCTGCCCTTTGCCTTGGAACTGCCCCTCCGTGGGAGCCTCCTGCTTGCGGTGCATAGCAAAGAAGGGAGAGGAGGGTGCTTATGTCAGGGTGCCCCCTCTCCTCCTGTGTTTTTGAGAGTGGGCCAGGGCCAAGGCAGGGGTGAGTCTGCCTTAGCCCCACTGCACTACCACACAGGAGCCACCTGTGGTAAGCAGTGTCCAGTTGGAGCCTGCATCCTGATTCTCTGCCCCAGTCATGTACCCTCTCCTGCACCCCAAGCTCCTGTCCTAGCCCTGAGGCCCCCCCGACCCAAACTCCATTACAGAGCCTTACTCTGTCACCTCCTGCATCCCAAGCCCCTGCCCCAGGCTCAGCTCAGAGCCCCTCTCATACGCCAAACTCCTTAGTCCAAGACCAAAGCCTGCCTGGTGAAAGGGAGGGAGAAAAGGGGCAGGAGGAAGGGAGTGAGCAGGGGCGGGGCCTCGGAGAAGGGGCGGGAAGGAGGCAGGGAAAGGGTATTTGGGTTTGAGGTAGATCTTGGATTGCACTTAAATTCAAAAAGCGATCTTGGGCTTCAAAAGGTTGGAGACTATTGGTGCAGACTCTTCCGAACCCCACCCCAAAAGCTCCAGCAACCCCAACTTAGCCAGCCATGAGGCTGCTGAAGCCGACTCTGCCTGAATCCAGCCTTGGGACACTGCACCTCCTTGTGATTCCCAGCTGGGGGAAGGAACAGAGAGTGAGCCGGGGTGCCCTGGGCCATTGTGCCTTCCTGGCAGAACTGGCTCATTAGCAGCTTGGTGTAGGGACCCTCGGGGGCACCACTGGCAGGTCCCCTGGGCCAGGGCTCTCTTACATCAGGCTGTTAGGAAGAGGGGACTGGTGCACAGAGGCATGATGCAAGAATTGCAAACTGTCCCCCTCCTCAGTGCCCAAGACCCTCATTCCCCAAGCTCCACCCCTTCCCTGCTTCTGCCCCACCCCTAGGAGGAGCAAGACTCGGAAAGAGGCAGGGGGCAGGGCAACACCCACAAGCTGCTACTCTTAGCTTGGGGTGTGGCCTGACTCATCCCCAGGCCAGGGGCTCAGCTTCTCCATGTATGTCCATTCTTTGGGCTTGAACACCCCATAGCCTCAGTGCACAGAAGGGGGGGGATGCTGGATTCTGGCACAGAACCCAAGAGATTGTTCTGCGGGGCTGGCAATGGGGGTGTCAGTCCAGTACCCACAATGGATCCAGGGTGCAAGAAATCAGGACTTGGAATGGAACCCAGGCATCTAGGTCACCCCAGCAATGCCCTTCACAGCACCTCCCGCCCCCACAATGCCCCCCTTTTAGTGCTCCGATGCCCAGATGTGTCCCACTCACCCATCCTGGGCACTGTTGCCCCCTAGGAAGCCGTAACGGTCCGTCTGGCGATAGGGGGCAGCCCCATTCAGCTCAGAGTCGGAGCCCAACGAGCTGGAGTCATCATGGCGCCCCAGGGTGGAGTCAAAGGCATCGGACAGCTCCTCCAGGGTGCTGAGGCTGGAGGAGTCAGCGGAGGACATAGGGCCGGACGCCATGCTGTGATCTCAGCACCCTGCAGGGGAGGGAGGGCAGGGACAGGGGCCCGCAGTGAGTGCCCAGCAAGGCCAGCCCAGAAACGAACATCCCAGGAGACAACCCCGAAGTATAACTTGCCAGGCCCCTCTCCCCGTCCCCTCCAGGGGCTGCCCAGCCCAAGGCCCCTCTTACTCATTCCTCCCAGGGTCTGCATCACACAGTCCCTGCTCCATCTCCGCCAGGTTCTGCCCAGCTCAGGGTCCCTCACCCTATCCCCCTCAGGGTCTGCCCAGCCCAGCCACTGAACCCCCATCCTACTCAGAGTCTTCTCAGCCCAGGGGCCTGCACCCCCATCTCCCTCTGGGTCTTCCCAGCCCAGCCACTGAACCCCCATCTCCCTCAGGGTCTGCCCAGCCCAGGGGCCCGCACCCCCATCCAGGTCTGCCAAGCCCAGGCCCTGAACCTCCATCTCCCTCAGGGTGTGTTCAGCCCAGCAGCCTGCACTCTCATCCCTCCCAAGGTCTTCCCAGCCCAGGGTCCCCTCACCCCCATGTCCCTGCACCTCCACCCCTCTCAAGGTTTGCTCCATTCAGGACCTGCTCCTCCATCTCCTCCAGGGTCTGCCCAGCCCAGGGCTCCGCATCCCCATCACCCCTATGGACTGCCCCACCCAAAGCCCCATCCTACCATCCCCGCCGGATCTGCACTGCCCAGAGTCCCACATCCCCATCTCCTCCATTGGGAATGGCCCAGGGCATGAGCTAAGGGGACTGGACACAGTGGAGGTGAGTGGGAATGCGAGTCTGCCACACACCCACATCCCCTCCAGGATCTGCTCTACCCAGGCCCCACACCTCCATCTCCCCCAGGATCTGCCACACACCCACATCCCCTCCAGGATCTGCCCTACCCAGCCCCACACCTCCATCTCCCCCAGGATCTGCCACACACCCACATCCCCTCCAGGATCTGCCCTACCCAGCCCCCACACCTCCATCTCCCCCGGGATCTGCCATACACCAACATCCCCTCCAGGATCTGCCCTACCCAGGCCCCACACCTCCATCTCCCCCAGGATCTGCCACGTACCCACATCCTCTCCAGGGTCTGCCCTACCCAGGCCCACACCTCCATCTCCCCCAGGATCTGCCACGTACCCACATCCCCTCCAGGATCTGCTCAACCCAGGACTCTTCCCCTCTAGGGTCTGCTCAGCTCAGGGCCCCTCACCCTCATCTCCCCTCAGTTCCAGTGGAGGGCCCTGTGCTCCCATCTTCCCCAGGGTCTACCTAGCCCAGGACCCCTCCCCCCCAGCATCTGCCCATCCCAGGGCTCTGAACCCCGACCCTTCCATCCTTGGTTCCAGCCCAGAGCCCCTGCATTCCCATCCCCTGGTCCTGAGGCCCAACCCCTCTAGCCCTATGTGTACTGGAAAGGGAACACGTGTAACATCCCTCTCCCACACTCACACAGAACCCTGCCCCCCCCCCCCTTTCTCTTTTCTCTCCTGCCTCCAAGCCTGGCCCCAGTACAGCTCAGGGAGGTTCCTATCGCCTCCTATTGCCCCTCCAGGAGCCCTCCCACTGAGCTGCTCCCCCGTTCCCACTCACCTCCACTGTGTCCAGTCCCCTTAGCTCATGCCCTGGGCCATTCCCAACGGAGCAGTGCCCAGGCGGTGTGGCCCTGCATCTGTCCCGTGGCAGCACCTCAGTCTGGTGCACTCCCCGTGGGTGCTGCAAGCTTATTTCCTCCGCACTGTCATTTCCTTTTGCACCTGACAGGGCTGAGGCAGCAAGCAGCATGCGGGTGGGGGAGGGGGAAGTGTATGTGGGGCAGTGCTGCCACCCTGTTTCCTGTAGCAACCCCTGCTGGCAGAGGCCAGGCTAGTGTAGCTGGGATCTCCTTACAGCTAGTGCCCCCCCCCCCCAGCCAGTGCCTCCACTCTGCTCCCCACAGCGCCCCCTGCTGGCAGAGGCTGGGACTGGAGTAGCCAGGCACTCCCCCTCGCCCCCAGCCAGAGCCTCCACTCTGCTCCCCACAGCGCCCCCTGCTCTCAGAGTGAGCATCCCTCCCCACAGTGCCCCCTGCTGGCAGAGGCCGGGCTAGTGTAGCTGGGAGCACCTTACAGCTAGTGCCCCCACCCCCCAGCACCCGCTGCTGGCAGAGGCCAGGCTAGTGTAGCTGGGAGCACCTTACAGCTAGTGCCCCCACCCCCCAGCACCCGCTGCTGGCAGAGGCCAGGCTAGTGTAGCTGGGAGCACCTTACAGCTAGTGCCCCCACCCCCACAGTGCCCCCTGCTGGCAGAGGCCGGGCTAGTGTAGCTGGGAGCTCCTTACAGCTAGTGCCCCCACCCCCCAGCACCCGCCTGCTGGCAGAGGCCGGGCTAGTGTAGCTGGGATCTCCTTACAGCTAGTGCCCCCACCCACCAGCACCCCCTGCTGGCAGAGGCCGGGCTAGTGTAGCCGGGAGCTCCTTACAGCTAGTGCCCCCACCCACCAGCACCCCCTGCTGGCAGAGGCCGGGCTAGTGTAGCCGGGAGCTCCTTACAGCTAGTGCCCCCACCCACCAGCACCCCCTGCTGGCAGAGGCCGGGCTAGTGTAGCCGGGAGCTCCTTACAGCTAGTGCCCCCACCCCCCCCCCAGCCCCCCCTGCTGGCAGAGGCCGGGCTAGTGTAGCCGGGAGCTCCTTACAGCTAGTGCCCCCACCCACCAGCACCCCCTGCTGGCAGAGGCCGGGCTAGTGTAGCCGGGAGCTCCTTACAGCTAGTGCCCCCACCCCACAGCGCCCCCTGCCGGCAGAGGCCGGGTCTACACTAGCTCCGTGCTCCACCTGCAGCCTGCGCTCCCACCCCGCTCCCCATAACTCCCTGTGCTGGCCGAGGTCCGGCTGGTGTCGCTGGGAGCGCCCGGCAGCCAGCGCCCCCTGCTGGCAGGGGACGGGCTGCGGAACGGCGCCCCTCCCCCGGGGCTCTGGGCGGGTGGCCGCCCATGACA